ACCGGGGGGAGAGTGGAGCCCCCGCCGGGGCTCGCCGCCCTCCCCCCACGCACACGGGGGGGGGGGCGCGGCGGCCAGCGGCTTTTTTGCCTGGGGCGGCAAAAAAGCCAGAGCCGGCCCTGCCTCCAATTGTTCTAAATTTGTTTAGATTTTTATTTTGTATATAGCAGCCAAGGGAAGACGATTTGCATAGCTAATCCCCAAAACATCTGATCAGTTGTGTTCTGCACACACTCCTGACTGTGATAGGAAAAATCTTTCCTGGCTACTATAGCAGTGTTTCTCAAACTGGGGGTTCTGCCCCAAAAGGGGGTCGCAAGCCTATTGTAGGGGGGTTGTGAGATCATAATGTCACTGGGGGAAAGAGGAGCTGCAGGGGCAGGTGGGGGGGGGGGTAACAACAGCAATTGCTCTCTGGCTGCCCACTTCTGAAGGCAGCGCCGTCAGCAGCAGCAGCGCAGAAGTAAGGGTGGCAGTAACATACAGTGGCACTGCCTGCAGAGCTGGGCACCCAACCAGCAGCTGCCACATCTCCAGCCACCCTGCTTTGAAGGCAGCACCACCACCAGCAGCAGTGCAGCCGTAAGGCTGGCAATAGCATGAGTATGCACTTATGGGGATGTACAGTCATTTGCTATCACTTTTTTGGGGAGGTCGTCACAGCTTGAAATATTTTCAAAGAGGGACTCAGCAAAAAGAAAAGTTTGAGAACCCCTGTACTATAGGAAAACTGTAAGAGAGGAGACGCTCTCTATTATCAAGGCCAACTGTTGCAATCCTTACTAGTCAAAACTGACATGTGGAAGAGTAAGGACTTTAGGATTTGGCCCCAAATAACTAATCAGATCCTTTTATGCGAGGACATAGTCATTAGGACTGTGACGCTGGTAAGCCAAGTGCCAGCTCCGGTGAGGGCCGAGTCAGCTGAGAACTGACAAACGCAGCTGGAAGCCAGGCTGTAGCGAAGTGAGACTCACCAGCGCGGCGCCTCCTGCTGGTTGTCTTGGGAATTAGCGTTCCAGCGTACAGAGCGCCTCCTCCTGTCCGGTGTCTCGCCTGTCACTGGCCCCCGTGTCCCTCCCAAACCCCGGTGCCCCTTTTCCTCAGGGTTCTGCCCCCAGCAGTACCCCACAATCTGGGTCTCCCCTCCCAGGGGAACCCCCAACCCTCTATCCCCACCTTGCCTCAGTGGCTACTGCCTGTCATCATCTAGCCCCCGCTCACTGGGGCAGACGCAGTCTGTCATGCCCACTCAGCATTGGCAAGGAGATAGGCAGAAGCAGCTGGTCCAGTCTCTGGGCTGCACCTCCCAATGCCAACACCTGCATAGGCCTTTACAAGGCCTCAGCCTGGGGAGTTGCCAGGCTGAAGCTCCCCAGCTCCTCTGGCCGCTCCCCAGCCCTGCTCCACTCCAGGTGCCCTTTTCTCCTGGGCAGCCAG